TTTTTTTAAAATATTTATTTATTTTGTATACAATATTCTGTCTGTGTGTATGACTGCAGGCCAGAAGAGGGCACCAGATCTCATTCCAGATGGTTGTGAGCCACCATGTGGTTGCTGGGAATTGAACTCAGGACCTTTGGAAGAGCAGGCAATGCTCTTAACCTCTGAGCCATCTCTCCAGCTCCCCATACATAAATTATATGAAACATCATTATTCACAATAACTCCAAACTGGAAATAATCTACATATTTATTACTAAAAGGAATTTATAAATTATTATGTATATCAGCAACAAAATATACAAAAATATAAATTAAAAATGTCTCTGTCTGCAACAGTATGGTTATCACAAATGTAGTGTTAACCAAAAACCCACAAAACTCAAAAGAATACATTTATCTGATTTCATTTATGTACAGTTCAAAATAAACAGAATTATTTCTGGTATAGAAGTCAGGACATTCATCATCTTTGGAGAGTGAGGATGATATAGTGATAAAGATGGACACAATTAAGGGTTTTCAGGATGTTAAAAATATTTTATTTCTTGACTTAGATGCAAGCAATATGAGTGTGCTCACTTTGTAATATTTCATCAATTGGCACAATTATGATGTGTATATTTTTCTGTATTTGTATTATATGTTAATAAAAATAAAGGAAAAGAATAGAAATGAAGTAAGTGCTGGGTATTTACAGAGGAGTCAGACAAAGATGGTTCTCTACAGTGGCTGCCTTATAGACAAAGGCACAAGGCTTTTCTTGGTAATATTCTTGGAAATTAAAATCGCTTCAGAAATTCTCTAGTATAAGGAGATCTTCTCTCTAAGGTAGTTACAGATAAATTACAGATCATTTTCACAAGATCTAAGAGAGAAGATGAAACCTAAAAGCAAATAAAATATCAAACAATGTACTACAAAAAGCTTTTAGTACCATCTTAGAGGGAAAGTGGGAAGCTAGGAAATGGATCACATGGTTAGGATTTCTCTTTTCAACTTCACTTTCTAATTATTTTAGAAACCAGTGAAATATTACCAATAGAACTATTTACTTAAGTAAAACTGACAGTTCACATACTTAACAGGACCAGAAAGAAACAGGCCTGTTTTATAAAATGCCTTTGTTTTATATAACTGTTACCCAAGTCCCCAGATAATTCAGTTCAACAACTATTTTCTACTTAGCTATAATTAGTGCTGTTAGGAATCATAAAGACAATACAGAAGGTAGATTTCTGATGACTTTTAATGTAAAGGTAGATGTCTTAAAGTGAAAATCGTAACAACTACAGAATAATCCCCAAAGAGATTATGGTGGGTGACTTCCAGGAATAAAATTAGTGAGAGTGGAAATGAGAGGGATTTCATGAAATCAGTTCAAAAGCCTTAAAGAACTCATTGAAAAGTCTGCACTTAAAAACCATAAACAACTTATCAAGATTCCATAATTTGTGGGCTCTGTTATGGTCAGCATGAATCTCCTAGAATGATTCTTAGTTAGTAGGCATATCAAATGTTGGTATGCTAATGATGTATCTAGTTATACCCAAAATGTCCAAAGAAGATTAAAGCTGACTTCTATGATATCACCTCAAATAATAGGGACTGCACCTCAAACACCGCCAACTGTCCTGAATAAATTCCTATTGATCTGCCTGTAATTTAGATTATGAGATGATACCTTTATTTATCTCTCTCAACATTAAAAGACCTCTAGTACTTAACACTGTACCTAACAGAGAAATTTTTATTTATTCAGCTTAGATCATTAAATTACACCAACACACTGACCATATTCATCTCTCTCCCCCTTTTGATCAATTTAATTGGGTTTCTGGAGACTTTCATCAATCCGCTGTTAGCTTTTTCTTGAGAAACAGCCACCAGAATTTTCTGTCTGATTGTAGACAAAAATGAATTTTTGATCATCTTCATAGAAAAATGTTTTGTTTTGTTGTTGACACATTCCTGAGATTTTTCACCATTTTTTTGACATATGAGGAACATAATCATGACCAGACCATTTTCTCTATAGTGTGATCCAATGATTTTAATGCTTTTAATTATTTGTTATCAAATTCAGACACTACTGGTGTATCTCTAGCTCTTAAGCTAATCTTTACTAAGGATCCAGATACAGGTCCTTAACTCCTTCAACTAGACACGGTTCATGATTCCAGATGCTACCCTCTCACTCTTTATGAACAGCAACTGTGCCCCTACTTTTCTAACACCTCCCTTGCAGAAATTTGCTGATCTTCCTACTTTATGTCCTTAATTCCTTCTGCATCCTTTTTTAAATTCTTGTGTGTTATACATACACCTTCAATGATTTCTAGAGTCCTTCCTTGAGTCATAATTGAGAGCCCGCAGTCCAATCATCCCACAGGCTTGAATAACTTCACCTTTGCCTAAATATAGGTATGACCTTACATAATGAAATGCCTCTGACTGTTCTGCTCACCACAGTTTAGTGCCATCATCTTCCCTTCACTCTTTAAAATACATTGGTAGGAAAACCAATGTATTGCCCACTGGAAGATCCATGGTTTTTGTCTCTGCTCCTCTCTGTCCAACTTGCTGTAACAGCAGCTGAAAAGCTAAAACATAAAATATGACCTATGTGGCCAAGTCCCAGGAGGCTGTTTACTTCCTTATTTATGAATCAGAATCTGTCAGCACAACTCAGAATTTTGACTGTCAGCAGATAGTACAATTAAATGTCACTGCAAAACCAGCAGAGGGTGCACCAGGGCACTAGAAATTTTACCCAAGATATAGCACATCAATTTAACTCGATTAGCCAATCAACTTTTCCTTTATTTATTTATTTATTCATTATTTGTTTATGTATATGCCAAAAGTAATATCCTCAAGAGAAACAAGTTGAATCGGAACTAAAATTTCTTCAGTTATATTCCAATTTTCCTGAACGTGAATGAAGTTCAAGACAAATAAGGAGTATGTGGTTAAACTTAGTCTGGTCAAAATGTAGTTAGAGCAGAACAAAATGACACAGATCTCAGCCTTTCATTTTATAAAGTGTCTACTATGGAGCTCCAACCTGTTGTCATTTCATTTCCCTCAAAAAAATGGCAGATACTATATTATGGGGTAATGTGTACTAAGCTGGAGGAGGAAGGAGCAACTTCATCCTAGTTTTGACTCAATCTATGATATCTTGGGCCATTTATTTCTCCCGCGGGGTCTATATTTGTAAGGTGGTACCTTACAAATCTGAAAAACTTCAATTCCAAGTTGATGCCAATCCACGTAAAGAGCTACTATCATTGCTTCGACTGTCCCAAAAGACTAAACTAGAAAGACTGAAGGACAGGCGAGAAGAAGCTGTGTTGAAACACCTACGTACTTCAGTGCTTCACAAGTGTAAGCAACTAGACGTCGTCACAAAGCTCTGAGAGTCCCATGATCACAGAAAGCTCTAGAATACAGCCGTCCCGCTGATCCCCCACCTACAAACATGAAGGTCCTCCCTAAATGCCAAAAATCTTTGACCACCATTTGAGTATAGAAGTTGAATTCGCTGATACTTTTTACAGAATATTAATGTGCAGCTGCTAAGTATTTCTACTGGGGATGAGAAGGGGGGAGATAAAGAAAAGACCCAGAGTGGTAATTAATTTTCATCTGGCCACAGTGTTTAAAGTCTCACGTATGAGAAGCACGCCTGCAGCTTCTCTTCTTTGATAAGCTGTTATATAAGCTGGAGTGTGTGTGAAAGGCATTTTAGGGCTGGGGCAACTTTACAAAGCACATTGGAAATAAGAAAAGTGTCAGTCCTGACAGCGCATTGTCATGAAGGTGACAGCTCTAAAGTGTACAATTTTGAAGGTCAAAGTAGCATGAATAATGTTTAAAGAGTTGGGACAATGATTATGGATGTAGCACCAAATACAGCCGCTTCTATGTGTCACCTCCAGTACCTTACTTATGCAACTCGTCGTTTTCTCAAAAAAAAAAAAAAAAAAAAAGGTACAAACTAACCACCAGTCTTTAACCACCTCAAAAAGGTCCTTGGCTGCTCTGCCTAAGAGTCACACACATGGAAGACAACTTTGGCAACCACGAGAATACTTAGCATCAAGTACGCTGAATTTACTTGAAAAAAAAAGTTCGGAAAACAATCAAGCTAATGGTTTGCTGAAAGGGATACAAACACTCTAAAGAACATCCACAACAAAACAAAAATCCAACTTCCTGTTCTGAAGCTAGCGATAGTGAAAACTCTTCACACCCACTGCACCCAGTCCATCAACAAGAGCGTCAGAACCGGCATGCAAAGGGTGAGTTTTATTTCCATAGATTTTTTAAAACTGCTGTTCAGAAGTTGTCTAGCAAGACGGCATATTTCTACCAGAATTCCTCAGGGGCGCTGATCCTCACTAGAACGCCGAGGACAATCAGTCTCAAATTGCAGGTAAGTGTGAAAAAGCTCACGTTCTGGTCAGCGCACAAGAACCCGGCGCTCAAAGTACGGTTAAAAGTTGTTTCAACGGGCGTGGAACAGTTATTACAGCTGTTTACAGCTCCAACTCCAAAGAGGAGCCTGCTAGGGCTGGCATCAGCTCGGGACACGAAGAAACAAGCACCGCGGGCAGGGAACCTCACCAGGGGCACCAGGGGCCAAGCTGCTCGCCGTTAGCCGGCCACGGGGGCGGCGCAGGCACCTCTCCGCCGGCCCGGGTGCGAGGCCAGCCAACTTTTCCCCGAAGCAGCCCACACCCCCCCCGGGGGGCGGCGCCTGCAGCCCGGCCTTTCCAAGTCCATGGGACCCGAGAGGGTCTGAATGAGCCAAGCCAGGAACTGAGGACAACCTGCCCGGGACAACCTCTCCCAAACTCTCCGGCCCACTCCCAGGTCCTGCCCTGTAACTTGGCTCCGGGTGGCAGAGTCCCCCGAGCCCTGCGGCGCAGGCCCCCGCCCAACCTAGCAGGGGAGGGGGCCTCCGAGGCCACCGCCCCTCCTAGGTGACTCACCTGGTGCCGGTCCTGGGAGTCAGGGGGGAGTGGATCTTCTCCCGCTTCCAAAGGCTGCTGCGGAAAGGAAGGCTGCCCGAGGTGGCGGGTGATGGGACCCACGGGGTCGAGGCTCCCAGGGCTGCTTAGGGTGCCAGAGGTGCCAGGAGCACCCGGGCCGCCGAGGCGGGACTCGGTTCCCCGTTCCCGCCGCAATTCGGACCGCAACTCTAGGTAGCAACAGAGCGTCAGCAGGTGGAGGGCCAGCGAAAGGCCAAAGAAACCCAGGAAGAGCCGGCAGCTGTTCCCTTCGCCCGCCCGAGCAGGGGCCCCGCGACAGCCGCAGCCCTGGCTGCCCCGCTCCCTTGGCGCTGCTGCAGGCAGGGGTTCCCTGCGCTCTACCTCAGGGTAGCCCATGGCCTCCAGAGACGGCCACTATCTGAGGCCCGGGAGCCTCTGCCTCTGCCTCAGCCCTTCGCGACCCCTGACAGGCGGTTACTGTCCTGCCATCGGCTGGGGGCTTCAGGGACCCGTTCCTGAGCGACGGTGGCTGGGCGGGACAGAACAGGGAGCAGCCGCATGTGCAGCTCCACTCCGAGGGGTGGGAAAGGGAGGAGGAGGGGCGGGAGAGAGGGGCGGCGCGGCCCGAGAGGGAATGAGGGAGGAGGTCCTCACCTACCCCGCCCCATGCCTCAAGGGGCGGCCGGGACGCCCAACCAGGGGCCCGCCAAGCCCGGGCGCCCCGCCCCCTGCCGTTCCACTCGGGCCTCCAGCCGTGGGGCGGGGCCTGGGGGCGTGGGGGTTCACCTCTGTCTGGCAGCCCCACCCAGCTCTTCCCGCTTGCCCCGTTGCAGTTGGTGACTGCCTCTGTCGTTCATCTCTGGACTCCACCCCGCTTTAACCCTTCAGCGCCGCTATGGGGAGAGGGCGGGGGGGGGGGGGAGGCTGAGAAGAATTTGGGAACCTTGGAAAGGACGTGGAGCAAAGAAAAGGAGGCAGAAACTAGCATTAATAGAAATGTTTGCAATTAACTGCAGTTGTTAATAACATCATCCAGTACTTATCTGTTGCTTTCCATCTTCAAAGCGTTTAACAGACGTTAAACTAATTAAAACAGTTCAGGGTTTGGAATGAAACCATGCCTGCTGTGTTTGCAATTCAATGGCTCGCCAGAAGAAAAGGAGACCTAGGAGCCTGGGAGCCAAGCAGACTGGGAATCAGGCGGTCTCACTCCCAGAGTGAGTCTGGGGGCACAGTCAAGGCCTACTGCCAAGTGACTAGTGCCAAGTGGAGCTGAAGTGATGCTGTCCCTCGAAGAGTGTAAACCGTTTCCTAGGATTTCTTGACAGAGTAATCCGTTCAACAGATATGCATTGATCCCTCTCACAATGCGGAAAGTGCTGTGTGAGAAAACCCACAGCCAATAGTTTATCTTCCTTTAGGGCTGTGGAAGTTTTGAACGAGCATGAGCCTTCAAGAAGCAGGTGGGGAAACTGAGGGTCACGGCGAGGTGAATTTTTACAAGGGTGGTCCACAGAATGGCCAGACACTATTGGCATCTCTACTTGCAGGCAACTGTTCTGGCCTCTCCACCCTTCCCATGCTTCCCCTGGAGTACTCCCTGGGGGAAGTTCAACAAGTCAGCCAAATGTTCCAGATGTACATGCTGCAACTGCAGCATCTTCAACAGCTGCACCAATCAGAAACAGGGTCAGAGGAAAAAATGGCAAATGTCAGAACAATGGACCTGGAAATGAAGGATGGAAAAGATTAGTTGTCAAGAGTCACAATTGACAAGCGTTACTAGTCTCAGACTTTAGAGCGTTAAGTGGCGGTAGCAGAGCAAGCGTGCACGTTTTTTTAGCCAGTAGGCACTCTCATTTCCATGCAATTGAGAAATGAATAATTAGCAATTTTATTGACTTGAAGCAAGCATAGTAAAAGCCAGAGGCTCAACGGTGCCCCAGAGCACTTAAGACCTAGACTGATAAAGGCGAAGAAAAGCACAGAAGAATATAGAAAAGGAGACAAAAGGAAAAACAAAACCAAAAGCATATGGTGAAGAGGTCGGTGCAGAGAGCACAGAGGTCATAAGCTTTAAATATATCAGTCACAGACAAGTTTTCTTTCTTAGCCTTGTGAATGGTCTCAGTGCTTCACAGACATCTTTTTGTCCTCTTTTTAACCTTTACCCATGAAACAGAAGGTTTGCAAAAAAAAAAAAAAAAAAAAAAACTCATCATCACACAGATAAGGAGGAAAAGAAAGGCTTGCAACAGCAGCTCTCAAGATCTACTTGTCCAGACCAGGAATTCTAGATGCTAGGAAAACCGCCAGGCCGATTTACCTTAATTATCATAGCCAGGATTATTGGAAAGAATGCTAGACCAGAAGTCAAGAGGCCTCACTCTACCACTAGTTTGTTGGGTCACTCTGAGCAAAGCAACGTACTTTTTTGAGGGAATGGAGAAACACCGGCTAGGTTTCTCCAACTGTAAAACCAAGAGGTTAAACTGTAACAGCTATTACATTGTGCTTTATCTGTCTCATCACTGGCTATGTTGACTTTATTGCACGCCCAGTTTTAAAAGGCTACTTTATAATCATCTCAAATAAAAGGTAAATAAATGAATAAATGGCAGCACATCTCCTGACATGGTGGCGGTGGCAGTAGTGGTGATTCTCAAGGGTCTTTCTAGTTTCTGCGTCCATGTTCTACCAGCTTTTAAATGTTTTAAATCTATCACAATTAGAGAAAGAGAGAGGGAGGGAGGGAGGGAGGGAGAAAGGGAGGGAAGGAGAGAGAGAGGGAGGGAGGGAGGGAAAAAGAGAGAGAGGGAGGGAGGGAGGGAGAAAGGGAGGGAAGGAGAGAGAGAGGGAGGGAGGGAAGGAGAGAGAGAAAAAGAGAGAGAGAGAGAGAGAGAGAGAGAGAGAAAGAGAGAGAGAGAGAGAGAGGGAGGGAGGGAGGGAGGGAGGGAGGGAGGGAGGGAAGGAGGGAAGGAGAGAGAGAGAGAGGTATTTGGGGGACTCACATGCCACTGAACCCATGAGGAGGTCAAAGGATAACTTTATGGAATCTGCTTCACTCTCCACCTTTACATAAGTTCCCAGGATCAAGGTGAGGTCTTCAGACTTGTACTTAGAGCAGCAAACAACTTTATCAGCTGAACCATCTCACTGTGACCCTTATTTTAATGACGGGTCCTAGAAAGACCCTGTTTGCACCATTACTCTCAGAAGTCTTAAAAATGCATTTAACCTAGGACCTTTTGATTCCCAAGAAGCAGAAAATATGGCTTCATATGCTTTAGAAATATCACAGTGAGCCAGGGCAGTGAGAAATAGATGTGGTTATAATAATATTTATCATTATGTTGATGAAGTACTGTGGATGGAACTTAGAAGTCTCATATACACTAGGCAGGCATTCTACCTCCTAGCTACACCCCCAGCCCACAATTTCCCTTTTATTAATATGTTGTGTGTGTTTTGATGCACTGCTTCAGTTTGCTTCTGTTACCATAGTGCCTTGTCCCCTATAGCATAGGACTAAAAATGATAAACCTGTAGGCCACATTCAGCAAATAAATGTGCTGTGATTGGTATAATATTAGCTAAAACTAATAAAATGAATGAAAAAGAAAATTCAATTCTAGCATTTGGAAATCTGGAGGTTTCGCTTTCCTGGTTTTCTAAATTAAAAAAAAAAATCACAAGACCTGTTAACAATGGATCCACATTTCCATATGGCTACACCCAGCTAAAACTGCCCCTTTGAGATAAACAGGAATAATCAAGTTCTACATAACCCTTCCTAGCCCTTGACTCAGGTCTGTCCTTGTCAGTCATTTATCTTACTTGTGTGATGCCAAGGTATGGGCTCCTTGGCTGGCATATAATCTGTCATTTCAAGATTATTATTTGCTACCCTTTAAAGAAGTCATGCTACCACATTGCTAAATTCACTATTCCTTCTCAGACCACTTCACATTAGCCCAAGTGAACATTTTTCACTAACAGTATCCCCCACCTCCAAAACCTTCAAGAATCAGTGTGCATGTTCTCTTTAGTATGGCCTAACAACTTACTCCAGCTTTTTTTTTGTGCTATCATTGAACATACACACGTTAATGATATCAAGTATTTTGAGTGACTGTCTCATATGGTTTTCTCACCGCTAAACTGAGCTTCTTGATGATAAGAATCATGCTTTCTCAATTTTTCTGTTCCAAAACCCTAGCATAGTACCAACCATACAGTTGACACCGAAATTGTTTGGTAACTGAATAGGGCATGAAGTCCTCTACAATGAACTAGACTACCTAGAATTCCAAAGAAGGGAACTTGTTCATGGGATGTCTGTGAATACTATTTAAGAAGCATCTTTTGGGTCTTGAACTGCATAACATATATGGAAAGATACAAAGAATGTAAAGCCACATGATAGAGCTAGGGATGTAGCTCGATAATAGAGCACATGCAAATCATGCTCAAGAATTTGGATTCCATCCTCAGCACCAGCAACACTAGGAACTGAGCACAGGGCCTTGTACATGCTAGGTAAGCACTATACCAGTGAACAGCACCCCCCCACCCCAGTTAACTCATAGGCCTTTCTTACCCACTGAATTTCATTTACTGCGTTTGTTTGCCTGGGCCGAATATTAAAAGAAACAGGAATTGAAAACCCCTGAGCAATAAGATTATAAATTCGTTGACAACCCAGGTGTAGTGGTGTATGTTTGTAGTCCCAGCTACTCGGAAGGCTGAAGTGAAAGAGTCACTTGAGCCCAGATATTAAGGACAACCCGGAGAACACAGTCAGATTCACATCTCAAAAAAACAAAGGCAAAAATTGTTGACAATCCCTGACAAACCAACTGAGTGGAATGTACTAAGGAATTTGGCAGAGACTGATATTAAATACTTGGTACTATGGTTAATCCACAGAATAAATAACTGGCATAGAGATCAGCAGGGTAGCTATGGTGCACTTAGTGATTGGAGGTAGTTGAGGGGAATATGGGTTTTTGGAGATATTTCCTCATTTGAATCTTAGATTATTTACTTTTCAGCTATGTGATTTAATACAAGTGGTTTTCGCTTGTCTTAGACCACCTCAGTTTTCTCATGTGGAAAAGTAGAGATGACAGTATATACTTTTAGAATAGATACTTTGTAAGATGGCTGTGCTTAAATGGGATGCATTTAAAGGGGAAGAGTTCTGCTGTAGTCTCTTAGGGCTCTCAGTAATTGAGCCTATTAAATAAACTGACAGCAGGCAGATTAATGGGAGAAAATGAATACAAAATGTGTGATGTACAAAAAGGCATCAACATGAAAGAAAAAATGAATGTCAAATATGCAGTGAAATTTAGAAATTTATCTATCCTCATCATAAGTGAGATGGAGGCAAATGTGGATAACTAGGAATAATATATGTATATATACACATATATACATATGTGTATTGTATATATGTATATTCTTTTTTTAAAGAAAAGTGAGT